CTCAAAAGGCTGTAATACGTTAGATTTTTCCGTTTTTTCGCCATCTGTGATTTTATTACTTTTAGCCTTTATTTCATTATAAATGGACTGAATAATTATTATTATCATCATTATTATCATTAATGTCATTATTTTTATGATTACTATCATTATAGTCATTATCATCATAATTATCATTATTATCACAATTATCATTATTATCATCATTATTGCAGTTATAATAATTACTTATGCTAATTATTATTGCTATTTTCATCATTATAACTTATCCCTTCTAGCCAGATGTGTGCCAGTGGGAAAGAGGTTGGCATGGTCAGTTTGCTTTTGAGTATATGGGGTTTGGGGGGTTTGGGCTGATTCTTGTCAAGCTTCTAGGCCATCATCTAGGCCCTGTGTGGATGTGTGAGCTTCCTTTATGCTTTCATAGTTTGCGTCCTCAAGGTATTCTAGACACTCCCATGTCCTCGTTGCCCGGTGGTGGATTCTTATGTTTATTGGGTCTTTTTGTAAAGTGTGTGGAGTTCCCTTGATTGATGAGCGTGGGTTGGGCCACCTTATTCCTTTTGCCCATAGGATAGCTTTGTTCTGTATTGCCTGTAGTTTATACTATGATGATAGGGCCATCGTATTTAGAGGGACTGGTGGATATTCATGTATTGGTCTGACTAGCATTTTGTACAAGTATATTTTTATATCTTCTGGGCATCCCGAGAATCTCTTCAGCTTTGCTAGTACGTTGTTGGCTATATTGATTCTCTCTTTGTGTGCTGCAATACCCGTGTTTGTTATTTTCAAGCCCAGAAGTTTCCCTTCTTTTGTGAACCCCACATCTAAGTTGGCAAGATCGGGGTTTCCAGGTTTTGTCCTGGCGGCAGGGATGATCAGAAATTTGTTTTTGTTTTCTATTTTCCATTCTTCGAATCTATTTATGGTCGCTATGGCTCTGTCTTTGGTGAGTCTAATAAATTGTTGTCTTGGTGAAGGATGAAAGATGATTTGCGTAATGTCGTCCGCATACATTATGTAATTGCTGTTTGTTGCAGGGGGGGGGGTGTAGGCGATGTATATATAATGAAGAGTGTGGGTGAAAGCACACTCCCCTGTGGAACTCCACTCAGTAGTGGGAATTCCTGCCCTTCTAATTGGCCAACTCTTAATTTAGCTTTCCTGTCTTGTAGGAAGTTACATGGTATCTTGGTTGGGGGGCTGGGTAGGTTCAGGTGTTATATACACATATACATATATAAACATATACATACATACATACGTACATACATATATAATAGATATATATATATATATATATATTAATATATATATATATACAAATACACAGACACACACACACACACACACGTATATATTAATATTATATAATATATATATATTATATATATATTATATATATATATATATATATATAATATATCTTTGAAGAAAAATGGCATTAACTGTAGAAAAGAAAGACAGATATTGGGGGGTATCATGTTTGTAAAAGAAGCAATGTTCCGTTATTCAAAATTGTTTAATTGACGAGACAACGAGACAGGCGAAATGTTCTTGTGACGTCTGGATTTTCTTCGCAGCACTTCCCATTCCCTGATAGTATGATTTATTAACTGTTGGGAGGTTTTTCCATTAGCTGTTTCGAAAACACTGACAACATTTTCTCAAACATTTTTTCATTGGGTTTAAGTCACATGCCTTGCCTGGTCATCGAAGGACCTCCAGGTGGCTTTATTTATGGAACCCTTCGTAGGGCAGTTATCCTACACGAATATGGTTGTTTCCTGGAAGGGCAGAGGCATAACGGCGTACTGATGGGCGGAACATATGTATATATTTTTTTCTAACAATTCAATATATCTATAAAAGTTGCATTTTTGTACTGTTTTGCCAACATCATGCAGGATGATCCACCTCCACATATCACAGGTCTCGCGGTCACTCGCCGTTTCATATTATCATTATGTCCTATTTCTCTTCTCCAGTAATTTAGATGTTTTTCCACATACTGCTAGGCGAGTTGGACGCTACATCAGCGATGTCGTTTGTCAACCTACTTTTTGGTGACGTTCTACGGTGTATTCTAATCTGCATGTAGTCTTTTTCTTCACCATGCAGCCAGCTGTAGGTCTTCATGAATTTTAAATGCATTGGTGAACGAGTGTGTTCGTTCTGGAGGCCCACCTCCTCCCACCTTATCTACCAGTGTACCATCGTATGTGAGATACCCAGCTCCTAGAATATCACTGTTAGAGAAATAACTTTTCCTCATCCCATTATAACGGTCTCTGTTTGCCATTTCATCTACCCTTTCGTCCATCCTGAAACAGGTGTCAGCTTGACATCAGACGTCATGAAGGACAAGATCTTACTGAAAAGCACCGCCCTTCCACTCGAGGACTTTATTTCAATCCTTGGTGTGGACATATACAATGAGTTCAGATTTAACAGACACGTCAGCAGGATCTGCAAAACAGCTTCTCTGAAGGTGACAGCTCTCTGACGTATATCTCACATCCTGAATCCTCAAGGAATTCTTGCGATGTACAAGTCCCAGATCAGACCACATCAAGAATATACCTCGTTGGCCTGGTATTCTAATGCGCCCACCAACCTCAACAGGCTTGATGAAATAGAAAAACGGGCACTCAGGCTTATCAAGGAACATCGTCGCGACGCCGAGATCTAACGGTGCTCCACAAGTCTCAGGTGCAGCAGGTGCCTTATCTATCCAGCCTCCGTCTCTCACCGCACGGCCGAGCAAGCATCAGCGTACCTTCTCAGCCAAAGCAGCACGACCGTAGAATGAATTCACATCCACCACCAATGTCGCCGAAATGACCACGACCCAAATAAAGACAGCGGTGCACCCATGGCGGTCGAGCAAACCGTCACCTCTGAATCTCCTGTACACTCATGGCGATACATAAGGCAGCACTGTATATAATCATTATTCATTAATTCCATTTTGTTATCTGTTTAGTTTGATAAATAAACGTTGTTATTTATAAAGAAAATCGGTTGGGTTTTTAAATAAGCTCCTTTAGATTGGTAACTTTTAACCTGCAAAAAGAAACCTTTATGTTCTAAATAAAGTGGTTTCAACCTATAACTATCTGTATGATGACTAATTAAAGGTGTCTGATAAAAATAGAGAAAGAATACTAGGAGTGATTCAAAACATTGTATCGATATCGTGTACTAACCGAAGAAGAAAAAATGAAAAGGGATACGTTTTGTACTTACAACAAGACGCTCTGAGTATTGTGAAGGTTTCTCTAGATTCTTCATTATTCCGTCCTGAACCTTGATCACCCACGACGGAGAGAACACGCCCTTCAGCAGAACGGCACTATCACGCTCGTACTGCTCTACGACTTCGGAAGGGATTTCCACTTCTGCCACCATTTTGGTCTTCTTGTTATCTTTCAGAGTAGTAATGATATAGCAATGTTAAAATCCCACAAATGTGTAAGATATTATTCCTTTATCGTACTCCTCAAGCAAGTCCCCCTTAATTCACCACCACCCATACGCCCCCAACTTTATCACAATGTATACATTCATGTATAAATATATATATATAGATATGTATATATATATATATATATATATATATATATATATATATATATATATGTGTGTGTGTGTGTGTGTGTGTGTGTGTGTGTGTGTGTGTGTGTGTGTGTGTGTATGTATATATGTATATGTATATATATAAGTATATATATATATATTTATTTATATGTGGTTTTGCCATTTTTCATCAATTTTCTCATTGCCTTTTTAACTTCCTGCTTACTTATATCACGTCACGCCAAGGTTTAGAGCTCCATCCTCAAAACCTGCTCTAGGATTTTTCTTGTTCAACAAGGATTCAAAGTAGCTTTTCTATCTGTCCCTGATCTTTTCCTCTTCACTCAGCTGTATAATCTGGGTGTAGTCTTTGGTTGCTTTATCCCAGGCCTTTGCAATCCTTAACGCTTTTCTCTCCCCCCCATTTTCTTCTAACTCTTTATACATTTAATCCAGTGTTATAACCTTGGCTCTTGCCACTTTTTTTCTCTCTCTCTGTTATTAGCTTGTTTATAATTTTCTATATCTTGTTCTAATCCTGACATTTCCCACTTTCTCTTTGCCTCTCTCTTCTCTCTAACATTCACCTGCACTTGCTCATTCCACTACCAACTTTCCTTGTCTCCAAGACGGCCTTTCCCAGATGTTTTACCCAGTACCCCTTCTCTGTTCTTATCAGTCCACTATCAATTCCCCATCATTCCTGTACATAGGTCAGCGGTCTCACCCTTTCAAGCACTTTTTCTTTCAATTCTATTTTCATTTCCTCCTCTTTTAATCACCACCACTTTACAATTCGTGATATCTCTTAGATGTTGCCGTCTACATAGGATGAAGTCAATTTGGCTTTCCCTATTCCCACTTTTATAGGCCGTTCCCTCTTCTGGAAGGTGTTA